AGTCGGCCAAGACTTGTGCTTTTATCGCCGGTCGGGGCGCATATTTAATGTCAAACTCACTCAACTGAACCGCCCACTTAACAAGGCGCCCAGCCACGTCCATTGACCCCAACGTAGATTTCAACGGCAGATTGGTGAGTATCACAATGGTGTGCGCCTGAAAGTATGGCCTTAGCTTGGTCGCCGCCGTCACAACTGCCAGCGCCGCCTTTTCGATGGGTGCGTATCGCCTTTCATGCGCGACCATGGTCCGACTGACATAGTACACCGGCCTTTCCTCTCCGGAGTGGGCTTCCCTTGAGACGAGTACCGCGCTGACCGCCACTTCCGACACAGCGATATAAAGGTACAGTGTTTCTCCCACCTTGGGCGCCGTCATGACTGTTGGGGCGGCCAGGAGTCGCTTCAATTCTTCAAACGCCGCATCACACTCTGCAGTCCATTGGAAATGTGTTCCCTTTTTGAGCGTTCGGAAGAACGGGGCTGCCTTGTCCGCAGATCGTGGAATGAAGCGCCCCAGGGCCGCTAATCTTCCTGCCAAACCTTGTACCTCTTTGGGCGCCTTTGGTGGTGCCAATTGGAGAACAGCATCCACCTGCTTCGGATTGGCCTCGATGCCCCGTTTTGTGATCATGAATCCCAGGAACTTGCCCGCTTAAGCACCAAACACGCATTTTAGCGGATTGAGGCGGAGATTGTGCGCCCGCATAGCTTGAAACGTCTCCCGCAGGTCCTCCAGATGGTCCTCGCGCTTCCGACTCTTGACTATCAAGTCGTCAACGTAGGCTTCCACGTTTCGGCCGATTTGCTTACGGAAGACATTGTTGACCATCCTCTGATAAGTGGCGCCCGCATTCTTGAGTCCAAATGCCATGACCCGATAGCAAAAGTTTCCGAAGGGCGTCATGAACGCTGTCTTGGGCCGGTCTTCCTCTGCCATCGGGATCTGGTGGTACCCCGAGAACATGTCCACAAAACTCAACATCTCATGATATGCCGTGGCGTCCACCAATAGGTCTATTCGGGGCATCGGATAGGCGTCCGTTGGACACGCTTTGTTCAGGTTTTTGTAATCCACGCACATTCTCCAATCCCCTGACGGTTTCGGCACGAAAACCACGTTCGACAGCCAAGTGACATAGGATGTTTCTTCAACTAAGTTGGCGCCCATGAGTTTATCCACTTCGATCCTGAGCGCCGCCTCCTTTTCCGCCGATAAATTTCTCCGCTTCTGCTGTACGGGGCGCTTACCTTCCTCAACCGCCAGTCGATGCACGGCCGTTTCGGGGGCGACACCCGGCATCTCCAATGCACTCCATGCGAAAAGCTCCGCGAACTCCCTCAGAAGGGCGACGATGCGCTCCTTCATTTCGTCGGGCGCCTCCGCCGATATCCTCACTTGTCTTTCCGGTCGCTCATCGTCTAGTGCCACCATAATTTCTTTGTCGGCCGCTTCGGCTCTGGGCGCCTCGTCCGCCGCGATTTCCACCATATTGACTGCTTCGGCACCCTTCCGTTTCCGCCCCGTTTCTTTTGCGTAACGTGGGGCGCCCCGTCCTCGTGCTACGCCTACTCCCTGTGGCGCGATGAATTTCAACGTCTGATGGCAAGTGGAGGCCACGCCGTTTAACAAGGCCAGGAGGGGTCTTCCCAGAATCGCGTTGTATGGCGACGGGCAGTCCACTATTCCAAAATCAATGGCATGCGTCATCCTCTGTTCCCCATCGCCCAAGGTAACCGGTAGACGTACTCGCCCTATTACTCTGGCGGGCGCCCTGAAAAGCCGACCAACACCGATTCGGAGGGTCTGATGAGTTCCGGCGACAGTTGCATGCGGACCACTATGTCATTGAATAACACATCCATCGAGCTTCCTGTGTCAACGAGCATCCTCCTGACCTGGCACCCTGCCACTACCCCTTGTATTTCTAGGGCGTCCATGGACGGGAGCATGCACGCTTCCTCTGGCGCCCTGTTGAAGCTGATGTCTATTGCCTCTTGCACTTCTGCCGACGCTGCCCTCAGGCGGCGATTCGCCTCGATCTTCTCTCTCAAGTCCACTGTCCCCGAAATAGCCTCTATAGTCAGGCGCACCCGCTCAGGAGCGTTTTCTTGGTCGAGGTCGTATGGTGGTGGCGGTAGCTTTTCCATTGTTTCTTCCGTACCGGCCACGCAGGCTCGGTGCACTCTTTCTTCCGGCTTCTTGACGAAGTCGTTGAGCATCCCCCTGTCGGTCAGGCCCTGCAACTCGGTCTTTAATTGGTAGCAGTCGGCCGTGTGGTGTCCCACCTCGCGGTGGAAGTCACAATACCGATCCAGGTTCCGCTCATTGGGCTGTCCCCTCATAGTGCCCGGCTATGCAGTCAAAATCGCGCTTTAAAACTTAAAAACTTACGATTTTACGCTTTTAGGTCACCAAAACGCTTTCGTTTCCATATAAAAACTTAAGTGTATAAAATCGGACTAAATTGCGCTTTAAAGCTTAAAATCTTGCTGTTTTACGCTTCTAGTTCTCCAAAACGCTTTACGTTTTTACGCTTTTAGTTCAATAAATGAGTATTATTTTCATAAAATTAATTATGAAAAGTATATTTTAAAAGTAAATCACCAACAATATGATACATTTGAGAATAAAAGATACATATAAGGTACTTGGATGCATTCTCAACTTCGATAGAGTAATCTAATTCACCCGTTAGGCTTTTCCCAAATTCATTAGCATAGTGGGAAAAGTGGCTTATTGTTAAAATTTATGTTTACAAACTTATTATTAAGATGCTATAAGTTGTTCTACTTTAGGCATGAATCGCATGTATTTATTGGCTTTTCCCAAATTCACCCGTTACGCTTTTACGCTTTGATTCTACGCTTTACGATTTTACTCCTTTTCCGCTTCTAGGTAGAATCGCGCTTTTGACTTCAACTGCCCGGCCACCTGATGTGATACCCTTTCTCTTTGACATGCTGGAGTATGTTTTTCAAGGTGTCTGTGTACTCGGCAAAGGGTCCCCTGGGTGCCGGACGCCCGGTGTCGGTTCTCCTGGGAGGGGGGGGGGGGGGGGGGTTTGCGGGCGCATACCCCAAACTGCTTGCAAAGTGTGGTCTCCTTGCCGGCTCCGCCTCCTCTCCTTTCGCCTTTCTTCGGTCGGCCCTCCTGGCCGCCAACGTTTCTTCGAGCATGATCACTTTTTGTACCCGGTGATCCAGGTCTTCGGTGCACACCACGTCCCTCTTTGCTAGCGATCTGCACAATTCCTCGCTGGTGGTGCATTCGTTCAGGCACACGCCCAACACCGACGGCTGCACATCTTTCACCGCCAGGGCCACAGACAACCACCTCTCATAAAACTCCCTGAGCGCCTCTCCCTCTCTCTGTTTGATCTTGAACAGGGCGCCTATAGTTAAGGTGCGCCGTTTCCTGCTGGCAAACTTCGCAAGGAACATCTCCGCGAATTGCTCAAAGCATTCAATGCACCCTTCTTCAATCTGATAATACCAATCGAGCACCACGCCCGAGAAAGTTGACGGGAACACATTGCACAGAGTGGCGTCCGTGCTGTTGTACAACTGCATCTTGGTGAAGTAACCGTTGAGGTGGTCCTCCGGGTCAGTGGTCCCATCGTAAGTGGGGAGTGGGGGGATGTTGGTTCCTGCGGGCTCCGCCAGTATGTTACGTGCCAACGGCTGTCTCACGGGTCCGTGACGAGACAGACGTCCCAAAATTCCTCCATTCCATCCCCCCGTCTCTGGCCCATCGTACTCGCGTGGGCGCCACAAACTAGGACGCCTTTGATATCCTGACTCACTTTCCGTCTCCGCCACCCTCTCTCTCTTCTTCGTCGGACTGGGCGTCATTCCTCCTCCTCTCTTTAGGGCGTCGATCTCCTTTCGGAGCGCCTCGATTGCTCCGTCTTGGTCCTTAATGATTCTGAATAGTTCTCTTTTTGTCATTGAGGCGCCTTCCGACCCCCGAAACACGTCATCACTTTCCTCCCTCTCATCCATCTCGGGCGCCTGCCCCCTTAATCGTCCCGCCTGGTCCTCCGTGACCTCCTCCCTGTCCCCTCCATCGCTCACCTCCATTTCCTCACTCATACTTCCTGGTTATATTCCCCTTCCTGGCGCGCCAATTGTTTGTGCCACGATACTCCCACGACGCTCGGATGCACCCCTTTGCCTGACGCCTGCCTACACACACAAAGAGGAGGGCGCCCCGGCCCGTTAATCCTCCGACGCCCAAGTTAGTTTCTTAGAGAGAGAAGTGTCTTTCAATAGTATTCTTTAGAGAGAGAGTCCAACCTGCGTAAATGCTACCAACTGCCCCTATTTATACTCACCGAACTCGAGGTTGATCCCCTCCACGTCACTGTGCTCATTTAATGCTTTGTACTCCCCTTGTCAGGCACCCCAACCACCTTGTCAGGCTCCTGACACATGACAGGCGCCCCCAGGTAATGGACCACCAGCCAGCCTGGATTCCTTTGGCCTTTAGCGTTTTGTCTTCATGCGCCCTTCCACTTATTTAGGCCTTGGGGCCTTTTCCAGGACCCCTTTTTGGGCCTTGCCCCCCAATTCCTTTGTCTGGGAGCCCATATCCCTAACTGGCCTCGTAATACCCCCAACAATATTGTATTACCCTTATTTTTATTTTCTTCAGGGTTGTGATAGTCCTATGACGAAATTATGATAGTATAATAAATAATATTTACATTAAAATAATAGAATATTCACGCACTTTTGACGTTTTGAAATTATAATTCTCGAAGAATATATATTTTTGTGTTTCCGTTCTCACTCTCGGTCCACGAATCGATAAGCTAACGCCGTAGCTTTCTTCCCTTTTTCTTTGTTATATCTTGCGTCCCAATTATCGAGTAATGCAGTTTATTAGAGGAAAGCTGCCGAGTAAGAGAGTCGTTCATCATTTCTACCTCGGCCGCCCTTTGTCCCATCCATCTGACTAGTCTCTATTCAATATTTCCCTCTGCTTTCCTGTTCCTGTTCCTTCGTCTTTGGTTTCTTCAAATACATCTTTGTTGTATAATTTTCTTTGTTGTTTTTTTTGTTTGCGGGAGGGGAGGATTTCCCTCGCTTTCTCTCCTTGTTATTTTCTCGCTCTCGCACCAATTACCACGCGTATATAGAAAAGGAGAGAGGTCCAGATCAGGTGCTACATTTTGGCAGTTTGTCCTCTTTCCACACCCAAAATCAATTCCTCATCCAATCCAACTTGGGCAACGAAACCACCATAGCCAGCCTTCCTTTGCCCTCCCTGATTTCCGGGAGCGATTGCGCTAACGGTGGCCGGCGATTTTGTTCCAATCCTAGCTATCGCCGATGATCATACTACTCCCGCCGCGCTTTCATCATTGACTTTTCTTGCCGCCTCTCTACCTATTAATTGATCGCTCGCTCGCTCGCTCGCTCGCTCGCGTTGGGGTTAGGGTTTTCGTTCCTTGGATCGTTCGTTCTCTTTCCTTCTTTCGTAAGGAAGGGAAAAGGGAAAAGGGGAGGGAAAGGGAAAGGGGCAAAAGGACGGAGGAAGTCTTTCATCGAAGAATCACAACCAGACAGCTACTCCACGGAGTTCCGGTTTCGAAGAAGGTAATTTCATCTTCTCCTCCCTCTTTCATTCTTTTTGTTCTTGTACAGTGTACACCTTGTTCATTTTTTCCTTGTTTGAATTGGAATTCCCCATTAAGAGTGATCTCATCCAACTCACCTTGTTTACAAAAGGGTTAGGGCATCCCGTCTCATGGAATCTTCCGGCGGTAATTCCGACCCCTATAGAGTCTCTTCCGGAGGAACTACCACCAGCGGCGGAAATTCCCGCAGATATGGACTGCTCTCCGCTTCCAGCATCATTCAGGCTCCCATTTCAGCTCTCCTTGAGTACTCTGGCCTCCTCCGCACCTCTAGGTCAACCCTCTCCGACTCTGACTCCTTGATACCCGCCGCTTCCTCTACTCCACCACAGCTTTCTCCACCCGGAACCGGAGGTGCTTTGCCTCCCTCTCTCTCTCGGGATCATCTCCATCGCCTTGATGATCCTGCCTCGTCCCCTCCAGGCACCAACGGTGAGGTGTCCATTCGGATTATAGGCGCCGGTGACCATCACGACTCTGACAGAGAGGCCTCCTCCCTCCTCCTACCAGAGCAGCAGCTCCCTTCTTCTCAGTCCGATGCCCAACATCACCAGCTTCTCTCCGGAATCACCTCGGACCTGCACACTGATTCCAGACCCGATCGCCCCTCTCCCGAAGTTTCTCCCCACCACACTTCTAACACAAGCACGGACGGAGAAGCCTCTGATGCAGCTGGTCCCAATGGCAGGGATTCCTCTTACCAGCGATATGATATCCAGCAAGCTGCCAGATGGATCGAGCAGATTCTTCCCTTCTCTTTGCTTCTTTTGGTCGTTTTCATCCGCCAGCACTTGCAAGGTACTACACTCTCTCTCTCTCGCCTCCCTCCCTTGCATCGCCTCCCAGCTGAGTAGATTAGCTTGCCCCCAGTGAGCTTGTATCCGCCATTAATTGGGCGCAGTATTGTCTTTCCGTCTTCCATGTCAGATGAGATTGTGACATTCTGAGTGGACTTACAGGTTTCTTTGTCACCATTTGGATTGCGGTCGTCATGTTCAAATCCAATGACATTCTTCGGAAACAGACAGCTCTGAAGGTAATTTAGGCATCACATTACATATACCGTGGATGTGAACCATATGGTGGTAATGGCTTCATTTTGAACTAAACCCTCGTTGGTGCTGCAGGGCGAGAGGAAAATCTCTGTGTTAGCTGCCATTGCCTTGGCATTCACACTCCATGTTGTTGGTGTTTATTGGTGGTATCAGAATGATGATCTTCTCTACCCTTTGTTTATGCTTCCACCAAAATCTATACCACCTTTTTGGCATGCTGTTTTCATCATCATGGTGAACGGTGAGTTGCTCATCTCAATTCATTAATGTGATTACTTCCAATTACAGTGCCTGTTCAATTGTAACCTAATATTGCTAAAAATATGCTGGCTGTCCATATATTTGAGTATCGAACCTTGACTTTATCTGTCATGTCAGTGGCATTGAACTCTATATTTTCCTGTGCATGTGCATTTTGTATTATATTTTCAGCCTTTACTGTTCTTTTGTGTGAGTTGGACGGTTTCTCAGGCTTCCTCAATTTGCAGATACTCTGGTGAGGCAGGGTGCAATGGTGCTCAAATGCTTTATTTTGATGTACTACAAGAATAGTAGAGGGCGAAATTATCGTAGACAGGTGAGGCTAGACATAACGGGCACTGGATTTTGGATCTCTAGTGGTTATATTCACTCACTTGTACCTTGCAATTTTTAATTTCCAGGGCCAAATGCTAACTTTGGTTGAATACTTGATGCTCCTGTATCGTGCTCTGCTGCCTACGCCAGTGTGGTACCGCTTCTTTCTGAACAAGGAGTACGGTAGCCTCTTTTCCTCATTAATGACCGGGCTCTACTTAACTTTCAAGCTAACATCTGTTGTGGAAAAGGTATGTAAGTTATGATCTTTCCGATTGTGCATGTCCATATCTTACTTCTCCATGTTGGTGTAATTGGGGAGGATTAGTGGTTCTTTTGTCACGGAGTCTCCATCACATAACCCAGCCATGTCATCTTACACCAATCTTTCATCTTGCTTTAATACTTGGCTTTCTTTCCCTGCTGATTACAGGTTCAATCTTTCTTTGCTGCCCTGAAGGCGTTGTCTCGCAAAGAGGTGCATTATGGTGCTTATGCAACATCTGAGCAGGTAGTACGGATAGTCAGATCTACTTTCCCTGTAGTAACCTGCATGGCTACTATATGTGATACTGTAGATCAAACTTCTTTGCCAATGCTCTCTAGGCTACAAAAATGGCTTGGAATACGTGGAACCTTCTGGGGTACAAAATATGGATTCATTTTATTAAGTTGTAGATACCAATAAACCTATGAAAGCTTCAAATGTTTATCAGAAAACATTGTTTGGTTCATCTTAGATGTTAGGCATGCAGAGCATGATGAAGAAAACGGAAGGGAAGTTCACTGCTACAGAGCCATTTTCTCTTGTCCCAAATAAAGTATGGGTGTCTAGGCAGGCTGTCCGTTCCTAGAACTACTTCCATAGTATATTCCCTTTTATGAGCTGATGGCTTGAATGCCTATGCAGTTAATACTGACAAACCATCATTAGTTTTTCTTAGTGCTTTATCTGTGGTTTGAAGTATGTAATTACCAGTGGAATAGGTGATACTTCTCATGAATTATGGAGTGAACATTGGACGAAAATGTTGTCTGTAGATGAGTTGTATTTGTTTAGTTTGTCTCTTGTTCCTTCTGTGAAAGCAGTGCGTTTCCGTCATATATGTATTATGAGGCGTGTCTTATCTTTATAGTTTCCCATCACTTAGTATACCCAACTTGCTGAAACTTTGTTTCCTTGTGCGCCAAACAGAGTGCTTTCCATTTACTTAAAGTTAAAGATAGTTTGTGGTGTTAATGACAGGTTAATGCGGCTGGGGATTTGTGTGCTATATGCCAGGAGAAGATGCATGCCCCTATTCTGCTTCGCTGTAAGCACATTTTTTGTGAGGATTGTGTGTCAGAATGGTGAGTAAATTCGAGCATGATGCTTATTTGCTAAGGTGTGTTCCTGAATTAAACATCTGACTTGGTGATTGGGTTGCTTTGAAGGTTTGAAAGGGAAAGGACATGCCCGTTGTGCAGGGCTACGGTGAAGCCTGCAGATCTGAGGTCATTTGGAGATGGATCAACCAGTTTGTTCTTCCAGATATTCTAGTAGAAGTACTGCTGTAAAGAAAGGAAATCTAATCCAGGATGATATCTCCTCTTCCTTTTCTGAACACATTTTCCTTGTTTTTTTTGTTTCTATGTTTGGGGGATCTCCTTCCTTGTGAAGAAAAGGAAGGAGGGGTCACTTGGCGCTGGGGCTGCCTGCAAATGCGCTCTGCTACTGTTATGTGAGTAAAATATCAATAGGGGTTGAAGAGACGGGATTAGAAAGAGAACTGGGATACTAATACTTCGCCTCCCCTCGAACCAACAGGGGGGTTGATCGCAGGAGAATGTGATTGTGAGTTGCTATTGATGTTGTACGGCGGACAGGATGGAAATGTTTTTCCCCCCCCTTATCTTACTTAGTACAGGCCAATGAGAACTGAGAAGCCCCTTTTATGACAGCAGGAGATGGTGTAAGCGTAACTCTAAAGACGCTGGATGTCGATGGTTATAAATTTGAAAGAAAAAAAAAAGGAAATTTCCCTGTGACCTCTCTTTTCAATGTACACTAGATTCGATACCCGCGGCTAGGGCAAGTAAAATTGAGAGACGTAAAAATGATATGCATTTGGAAGAAGTGTTGAACGTTAATTGCTTTTCATATCTTGGCAAAGTAAAATGGCTATTCTTCCATCAGGTCAACATTCAACTTCAACCTTCTTCCATAACTTTTCTTTCAATGGTGAACTAACATTTAAACTAAAATCTCAGTTGTTCATTGATGCTGCCAAACCTTCTCTTACCTCAACTGTAAACATGGAGGCTTGAAGATCTGCCATCAAGGTTGTCAAATCGGTTTATGCCAGTGTGCCGGTTTAGCAAGTGGAATGGTTCGACCGGTGGCACATACCGGTTTATGCCGGTCAATATTACAAATAAAATTATAAATACTCATATTTAAACATGACCTTTAACGTCAATACCTTAACATTTATACTTGAATCCAACAAATAACATCAATATTTAACTTTTATACTCATAAAATAAATAATAAAATAATTTTTGTCAATTAAATTCGCTAAAATAAGGTTATTTTACTTAGAGATTCGTATATCGATCATGCCGGTCATACCGGTGGTGTCACGTCCGATTTTATGACCGGTATCGGTTGAACCTGGTACAACCGGTGGCACGCCGGCCGGCGTGACAACCATGTCTGCCATACATAAGTTGTCGTAAACAAAATTTTGCAGCAAAGCCTACTCTTAAACCAAGCACAACAATATACTCTTTGCCATCACACACGATTTCACTTCGCAGGGCAACGCGAACCCCACACATTCTGATACTTAAGTTTCCTTCTCATTTGATTTTTCTTAGTTCCTATGAACTTTGCTACTCAATATTGCTTGACTGTTCCGACCAAATTCCAGCTAAGGAGTCTTGTAGTTCTTCATGGAAACAACCTCTTTCTTTCAATGAAGGTCCTATAAAGAATATGAGAGGGGCTTAAGCAACCATACTTGTTTTCATCGAAATCCAGTAAAATGTTTTCCCATATGTATGAGTAGAATGATGCTCAGTTGATAAACTCTAAACATTTTTCACTGCTGTTTGTGGTGGTCAATCACAGTACTCATCTGCAACCCCTAAATAGAAACCTAAGTTATTAGGCATAGTCTGAGATGAAGCTAACTCCATGGCCTTATACAATTAAAGGAGATCTTGAGAAATGAAATGTAAACCAATCAGCATATTATAACGATCATCAAAGCTTAGAAGAACAGCCAGAACAACTGCAACAATAGCTTGCAACCAACATCATCGGAACTGCAGACCAACGACATCAGAAATACAGCAGCAACACGTAAAGAAAATGGTGACTATAAAAACAATATAGAAAGGGATCCATTAACAACTTACACTTGAACTGATTCACCTAGACCTGGCAAATTACAACCCGACCCGAAACCGCCCGAAAACTAGAAATTTTTGTAACCCGAAATCCGAATGACCCGAACCCGATAACCCATGATTTTTTGGGTCGGGTTGGGTGAGTTAGCGGGTCGACCCGTTAGACCCGTTCTATTTAATATATTACTCCCAAAATATGATAAATCACTCATAAATTGGTGAGATGTTAAAAAAAATCACAAGGATTTGAATGACATGTTTGGAGTTTAAGGATAATCAAATATCATGTGTTTCTTGTAGTAGTATTGTTCTTGTGATTGTTTTTTAACGATTTGCCCAATTTATATTTCATTTCATTAGCGTGGGAAGATTTGAGAATATGTTAATTGACATGTGTTAGGTAAATTATTGTCATGCATATGTGAAAATTTGTGTTCTTTAAGAAAATATGAAGCATGTTTGATATTGTTTCTAAGAACGCTCATAAGCCGAAATGACCTGTAACCCGACCCGAAACTGAACGGGTTGGATCAATATTTGACCCGAAATAAGCCAAACAAGTATGACCCGACCCGTAACCGAAGTTCCCAACCCGAAATTACCCAACCCTACCCGATTGCCAGGTCTAGATTCACCCAGTCTATAAGCAAGCTCGGGAATCAAGTATCCACATAAAACAAAGCAAATGCATGAGCAAATTCAGTCCAGAAGAGTTTTACTGTAATAATCTTCACTCCAAAATTAAAAAACTGGAACATTACTCGAAAGTTACCAACTTACCATCACCCTACTTTCTTAAGTAGCCTGGTCTCGAACTTGAAATCCAAGACTATGTTGTTTGTCATAGTAATTACTAATTAATATCACGATGAATGAAGCACATGTCCTTTGCAAATCACGAACCGAAACTAATGAATTAACATACTATTTAGAAAAGCACCAAAGACAATCAAGTGATATATGGTGCCACCTACAGAAAACATGAAATTTAGAAACAAATGAACGGATGGACTGGTACCTAGCACAGACTGAAGTACATGACCCCTCTGAAGTTTACAGAAACACTGCTACTGTTGGTGATTTTGCTCTTGCTGCTGTTGGTGCAGATATTGCTGTTGTTTCAAACATTTTTCTCTGCACAACTTCAATTGAGTGCCTCTGTTGTTGTTCCAAACAATCTTCTCTGCACAGCTTCAATTGAGTGTCCAAGTGAAAACTCTCACTTGAGAACCTACTAGAAAGAATTAATAAGAAGCAATGTAATACAGGATTCCAATCGGTAAGCCACAAAGTAAAGGTTACCAATTTGTGGGATCTTAGCTTAGACTCTTCAATGTATTTATCTACATAGATTAATATAACTGTCGGTCACCAAATAAGATCCTCCATATAATAGAATGAAGTTATCTATGCAAGTTCAGTTTCAATTTTGCCAAGTGCAGATATATAATGCTATTGTATAGTTATTAAGTTTCAATTTTTGACCATACTACTTCTCCAAGAAGGAGACTCTGTTGTGCAAAGTTACCTCAAGGTAACGGTAATAAACAAACCAAAACTATCTACCAATGAAACAAAGATAGTTGTGATGTATACAGTAAAAAACGGAAACCTCCAATACACAATCAAAACGACAGTGCTCTACTCAGCTCCTTGGTTGCTTCTGAGGGAAACGTTGCCGTATGGAAATCCTTAGTGCTTTAGGAGATCAACTTGCTTCCTTCATTGTAACCTGTAGCTGCATCTCCAATACCCTCCCTCAAGCTGACGCATACAAGTTTTGTATGTCCAGCTTGGACATAAGGTGATGGAGTCTGAATCGGCTAAGCCCCTTTGTAAACAGATCTGCAATTTGATTTTCAATTTCTAGGTGACTCAAACCTATCAGCTTCGATTGAAGGAACTGGCTTACAATGTGACAGTCAATCTCAATGTGTTTCGTTCTTTCATGAAACACGGGATTTTCTGCAATATAAATCGCTGATCGACTGTCACAAAAGAGGTCAACTGGCTGAGGATGATCAACATTAAGCTCTTGCAGTAACCTCTTAACCCAAAAAACCTCACATGTTAGCTGAGCAAGGGCCCTATACTCAGCTTCAGAGGAACTCATTGAAACTGTTCCCTGCTTTTTAGACTTCCATATGATTAATGCATCTCCAAAGGAAATACAATATCCAGTTGTAGACCTTCTTGTATCAGGGCATGATGCCCAATTCGAATCACTATATCCTCTAAGCTTCAGATGAGATGAAGAGGGATAAAAGAGACCCTGACCTGGTGCGTTTTTTAGGTATTTCAGAACTCTATAGGTTAGCTGCATATGAGTTGTGGTAGGTGCAGCTTGGTACTGGCAGAGTTGCTGAACAACAAAAGTGATATATGGCCTAGTAATGGTCAAATAGTGCAATCGACCAACAATCCTTCTAAACAACTTTGGATCATCCAAAAGAGGGCCATCATCTGCTGAGAGACGTGTCATCATGTCAATGGGGGTCACTACTGGTTTAGAATCAGCAAACCCAGCATCAGTGATGAGGTAAGTGCAATTCTTTTTTTGGCATATATGTAATCCCTCCCTGGATCTTGCCACTTCCAAGCCAAGAAAGTAGTGAAGGTGGCCAAGATCCCGAAGCTTAAACTGATCACTCAAATGTGCTTTCAGGGCCTGCATACTTGGAACATGATCCCCAACAATAATGATGTCATCAACATAAACCAGAAGAACTAAAGTACCAGCAGAAGAATGATGAAGGAACACGAAATGATCATTCTGAGATTGTGTATAACCAAAGTCAAGTAAAACTGATGTAAGCTTGGCAAACCATTGTCTGGATGCTTGCGTTAAACCATAGAGAGATTTCTTCAATTTACAAACATATCCAGGCTTTGATAGTCCAGGGGAAGTTCCATGTAAACATCTTCCTCTAGGTCACCATTGAGGAAAGCATTACTTACATCTAGTTGGTACATGTCCCAATTCTTTGCTGCTGCCACTAATAATAGGGTTTTGACAGTGTTTAACTTAGCCACTGGAGAATAAGTGTCAAGGAAGTCAACACCATAAATTTGTGTAAAACCCTTAGCCACTAATTTGGCTTTGTACCTTTCAATGGTACCATCTGCCTGGAACTTGATGTCGTACACCCACCTATTACCAATAGCCTTCTGATGAGAAGGCCTGGGAACTAAATCCCAGGTGTGATTAGCTTCCAGTGCCTCCAATTCCAAATCCATAGCCCTTCTCCAGTATTCTTCTTTAACTGCCTCTTCAAAAGAACTAGGAATGACAGTGGATTCCACTGCTAAAACATACTTCCTGTAGCTGTTGGACAGTTGTTCATATGACAAGCAAGCAACCATTGGATATGAAACTTTTGAATTAGTGGTTCCTAGGTGCATGACATAATCATTATATTTGACAGGCTTGACAGGAGCACGAGGTGCCTTTCTAAGTGCAATTGGCTGAGAAGAAGAAGGGGGAAAAGGTGGGACTGGAATAGGGGGAAAAGGAGGAGGAGAGGAAGCAGTTGGTTCAGTTTGTGGAGTGGTTATGGGTGGTGAGGAAGGTAAGGAAGGTGAGGGTGATTCTGGTGATTGAGGTTGAACAAAAGTGGGATCAGGTTCAGGGATGGTGTCTGATTCAGGAAAGAAAGCAGGTGTGGTAAGTGGTGAAAACATGGGAATGGCAGGGATATCTGTGGAGGATGAATTAGATAACTCAGATAGGCAAGGAATGCTTGATTCATGGAAGACTACATCCCTGGACAGGAATACCTTCTAATATTGTAAATCAAATAATTTATATCCCTTAATACCCATTGGATAACCCAAAAACACACACTACTTGGCTCTAGGTAAGAACTTAGTTCTGTTATGCCCCAAAGTGCTAGCATAGCACAAACCACCAAAGACCTTCAGGTCTGATAAATCTGGTGGATGTCCATATAAAACCTCATAGGGTGTCTTATTGGCAATGGCAACAGTAGGCAGCCTATTAATGAGGAAAACAACATGTTGGATAAAGTCTGACCAGAATTTAAGAGGAAGTCCAGACTGAGATTTTAAGGCTCTAGCTACATTTAGGATATGTTGATGTTTTCTTTCCACGCGGGCATTTTGCTGAGGTGTTTCGACACAAGACATTTGGTGAATGATCCCATGTTAGGAGTAAAACTCAGGTATATGAAACTCTGCACCCTGATCTGATCTAACCACTTTAACTTTCTTTTCAAACTGTGTTTGGATCATAAAACAAAAATCTTGTAACAACTTCCTGGCTTCACTTTTGAATTTCATCAAATATGCCCAAACACACCTAGACTTGTCATCTACAATAGTAAGAAAGTATTGGAAACTATTGTAACTAGAAACAGCAAGAGGACCCCATATATCAACATGGATAAGTTCAAACACACTCTTTGCCACAAACTGGCTTGAAGGAATAGGAAGGTGTTTCTGTTCGGAAAGAGGACAAACCCCACAATGACTAACAGAATCAACATCTATACTAGGTACAGTTTTCTTCAATTCTTTAGTCCTTTGCTCGGAGGGATGTCCAAGTCGCCAATGCCATAAATCAAAAGACTGTGGTGTAAGGTTGTGTGTCTTGAGGGAATTAACATGAGTAGAATGGTCTTCTGTGGTATGAGGTGTGAGTTGATAAAGGCCTCTAGTCTCATGGGCAAAACCAATCATCTTCCTGGTTAGAAGGTCCTGGATATGAAATGGTTGATTTGAAAGTGAGTGAGATACGTAAAGACTGAGTGAGTTTACTAACTGAGATGAGGTTAAAAGAAAAGGTTGGGACAAACAAAACACCATGAATAACAAGGTTTGGTGTTAATCTAACACTACCAGAATGTGTAGCAGGTGTCTTTGTACAATTAGGTAAGGTAATGAACACATTCTGAATAGGTTTGTACCTAGTAAAACTAGACAATGAACAGGAAACATGATCTATTGCACCAGTATCTAGGGACCACACATTAATGAATTCCAATGGATGCTGCTGGTAACATGAAGAAATAGTGAATTTACCTGCAAAATTTGGGTTCACAGACATGTGCCTGCTCACAGAGTTGACCATTGGTTGTTGTGATTGATGTGCTCTTGCAAGGGCTGTTCCAGGAGATCCAGGTGAGGTGGGAGAGCTGGGTGATCCAAACTGAGTGAGGATCCTCTATAGTCTACCAATGTCATCATTTGAAAGCCTGGCGTTAGTAAAACCATCAACTGTCTCATATAAAGCCCTGGTTTCTGGTTTTGGAAGAATCCCCCCTCCTGGGACCTCAGCCCCCTGTAACTGTCCTGCAAATCCATATGAAGAACCTGTCTTCTTGTTCTTCCTTTTCAGCTTGTAGCAATTTGAGATAACATGGTTATACTTCTTGCCGTATCTGCAGAACAGTGTACCCTGTGCTCCTTTAACATTCTCCTTTCCTCTAGTCTGATTGTTTGCCAAGAGAGCCATAGAATCGACTTGAGACTCCTGACCTGGTTTAGAGACTTGTCTCTCATGCTGGATAGCATAATGAAATGATGTCTCCATGGTTGGTAAGGGAACCATCATCAGCAGATTGGTCTTAACCCACCCATATGTCTCACTCAAACCAGTAATAAAACGAGTCACAAACTCATTGTCTCTGTATTTCTTCACTGTGGTCTCAGTAACACAAGGTATATTTCTATCCCTATGTTCTCCACATTCACAACTAGGGATTGGTAGAAATTGAACTAATTCTTCCCAAAAACTCTTCAACTCATAATAGAATTGGTTTACAGACTTGTTACCGTGTTTTAGGGTATACACAGCTGTCTGGAGGTCACTGATTCTGATGTTATCAGCTTTACCATAACATTGTCTTAAATCATCCCAAAGAAGTTTGGCATTGTCTTGAGAAGAGACACTATTTACCAGGCTTGGGTCAAGGGACCCTAGAATCAGGAAGTAAACAGATGTATTGCTTTGTTCCCGAGCTTGATAACTTGCATCTGTTGGATCTGGAACAGGAATAGACCCAGTGATGAAACCCAACTTGTTCTTGCTCTTCAGGGCAACTCGAACGGTTCTGCTCCACATGTTGTAGTTTGCAGTACCCGTGAGCTTGATTGGGAAGCTCAAGGCTTCATTAGGGTTTATGTAAAAGGGGTTGGTGACTGTGGTAAGAGGAGTAATGGTGGCAATGGTGGAACTGGAGCTGGAATTTGTATTTGCTTCAGTCGCCATGGCCGATGAAGAGAAGAAAGCAAAGAAAAGTTGGTAGAAGGAAGAATGCGGGTATGGCTGAAAACAAAATCCTAGTTCTGGGAACCAGGCTCTGATACCATATGAGAAAACAACAAATGTATAGTGAAAGAACCCGCAAAGGGATCTTTTGGTGCTCAAGGCCTTTTATTCATTCCATCTACTTCTCCAAGAAGGAGACTCTGTTGTACAAAGTTACCTCAAGGTAACGGTAATAAACGAACCAAAACTATCTACCAATGAAAGAAAGACAGCTGTGATGTATACAGAAAAAACCGAAACCTCCAATACACGATCAAAACGACAGCGCTCTACTCAGCTCCTCGGTTGCTTCTGAGGGAAACGTTGTCGTATGAAAATCCTTAGTGCTTTAGGAGATCAACCTGCTTCCTTCGTCGTAACCTGTAGCTGCATCTCCAATATATGAAAAAAAGAAAGATCGATGGAGAGGAGAGAAGAGAAGAGAAGTCTTACCTCAACGAGTAAGGGCCACTGCAGAAAAATCATGGGAGCTGGCGTGTTGGAATGGGTGGGTAGAGGTCCCAGCAGCAAACCAGAGAGGTGAAAGGGAGAGGACTGAAGCAGTGACCGCACGGTTGCAGGTTATGGGATGAGTCATGAGAGGACGGGGGATAGAGAAAGTAATGGTCACAACGGTGGGGTGTGGGAGCAGTTGTGAGGAACTTGGAGAAGCAAACTGGAGTGGTGAGATAATGGGAAACGACATGCGATTGCGGATTTTGAGACTGAAGATGAAGGGATGAGTTGGGCATACGGGAAGCTTGCTGGAAGAAGGGAGCTTCTCACTGATGATGCCAGGCAACAAATCCGGACGTTGGGGGAGCTCGGCACTGAACGCCAAAAATTGATACAGTGCACAGAAAATTGTACCAAAAAGTGTACCCACATTTCATATGGAAATAAAAGGGTTAATTGCATGGTTGGTCACTGATTTTACAAAAAACGATCATGTTTGGTCACTCAAAATATTTAAATTCATTAGTGGTCACTCGAATTAGTTAAATGGTTCAAGATTAGTCACTCTCCGTTAGTCTCGTCAGTTTTCGTTAACACCGTCAGTCAATTGCTGACGTGACTAACAGAAGTGCTGACTCACCCAGTTTTAACCCGCCACATCACCAAACCCGACCCTCCACATCATCTCTCCAACCCAACCCTTCGCAATCTTGACCCAATCCTCCGCCTCCAAAACCACCGCAGTCGCCAGACAATCGCTCACTGCCTCCAAAAATTACATCCTCATCCATCGCCATTCTCATCTCCTTGCCGCAGAGAACCCCCTGCCAATCATTAATTCCAATCCTCTCCAACCAAAATCGAACCCTAAAAATCCCTCCATCCCCCAATTCCCCGTTCCCTCCCACAACCAAATGGTTCTTCCCACAAAAAACTCCTCCTCCTCGTTCACTTCTGATCCTCCGTCATCCTAGTCGTTAATGCACGGCTCGATCTCAACAGCTCCTACCTCCGCACCATCTCCGTCATTGGCCGAGACTTGGGAATCAACGCTCAACAACGCAACACCTCTGTCTCCCCCTGAAACCTCCATGGCCTCTTCTGCGAGCGTCGCATCTCTCCTGCCGCCGCCGACCACTCCTACGAGCTTTGAATAATCAGGCTGGTCTTCAAATCCCAGTCACTCTTCGACAATCGGCTGTCTGATGGAGCTCAAGGAGCTCTCCCTCCCCGACAACCGCCTCGTTGACAAAATCCGAACAAGCTCGAGATGCTCAACCTCGCCAACAACCGATTCGCGACCAAAGTTCAGGTCCCCCGGCGTTCCATTCCTCCTCCGACTGAGCGTTCTGAATCTCGCCTCCAACAAATTGTCTGGGGATCTGAATTTCTTGAAGCATTTCCCCAATCTGGAAACGCTCTCCCTCTCCAACAATTTCTTCGCCGGCCAAGTCCCCAAATCGATTCGCTCCTTCCGCAACCTCCAATTCCTCGACCTCTCCAGGAATATGTTCATCAATATGGCGGGTCGGGTTTGGTGATGTGGAGGGTTAAAATTGGATTAGTTCACACTTCTGTTAGCCATGTCGGCAATTGACTGACGGTGTTAACGAAAATTGACGGAGACTAACGGAGAGTGACTAAACGTGGACCGTTTTACTAGTTCGAGTGACCGCTAATGGATTTAAATATTTGGAGTGACCAAACATGAATATTTTTTATAAACTCAGTGACCAATCATACAATTAACCCGAAAATAAAAAAATGTCTTCATACTTTTTTGCTTTGAACTACAATTTTGACCGATGGTGCTGCTTCCCTTCATGATGCATACTAACTCGTGGTTACTGATTGGCAAATTACAAAGTACAGACCAAACCTTACTGTGTCCCTGTGTGTCCGGGGGCAAACAGCTTAGGAAGAGCTCAGGAAGTATGTTGACAACACCCTTCAGTATCAGTGGGTAACAGCCACTTCGACAATTACAATGTTTCATGCACCAAAAATAAAGAATGATTTCTCCAGTGTCCGTATATGAGAAGAAGAATAAGGAAAAATGCTTCTCCGGCCAAAACCTTTTCCCGCGGACCACCATGGTAGAAGGACGGGAGACCCAGACAAACAACTATGAATAAGTACAGACGTAGCACACTAATCCTATTCACAACAGACAACTCTCACAGGAGAAAGCAACACAACGCAACCTGACGAGGAGCAGGCGACTTCTAAGTTGTCGAAAGTGACATCACTTTTGGAGTTTGTTCCTCCTGGATTACTAGTGCAGTAATACCCTCTGCATCTTCCTTGTCGCTTTTGGTACCTTTCTTCCCAGTAGCAGGGGTGTCTGCGATCCGTGCTACATCATCATCTATCACTGGGAAGGCTTCCTCGAAGCTCTCGGTTGCAGTAGGGATCATCCCCGATGCAGAAGGTGAGGGAGGAGTCAGCGGGGGAGACATAGTCATCAAATTGGAGATGGGGTCAACTTCCGAAACCTCTTCACTGCTTTCGTCCAAGTAAACCACATCCTGCATCGTCAGTTGGTGATATTCCACAATTTCCCTCAAATAACAGTTCTCTCGAGCATAAAATGCATTCTCATTTGCTAGTCGAGCCTTCTCTGCCAATAGTGTCTCCAGTTGGAGCCGAATCTGTTTTCCAGATCACAATTTATGTGCATCAGCAGTCTCTACAAAGATTTCTTTTATATTGTTATAACTTATAACCTACAGCAAAGCAAACATAGCGCTATAATAAGTCGAGCAGAGTTGAGTACCAGGTCGTCATCGGCTGGGTTTCCACCCTTCTCCCGGCTGTCTCTGAGGATCTTGTTCTCTTCTTCTAGCTGAGAACATCTCTGTTTTGCAAAGGCAAGGTCAGCCTTGACAGTTTTCAGCTCCCGGAGAAGCAGTTTTGCTTTTGCAGCAGTTGCCATCGCCACCTGCGAGCCAAAAGCCAAACCAACAATCAGCTTTGTTCGCCTGTATCTAATCATGATAGTGATATGTTAACATTCCCTCCTTAGTTCCTACTAAATTGATGTGGGTCTATATTTTATGAGCTTGGTGCAAAGTCAGTCGCTCAGTGAAGGTATATGCTCAGTCAAATGCGGTTGTTCCAGCAGCCTGTAATAGTAAAATGCCATGCAGCAGGTCTAAACTGAGTTCAGACAAACAAGGGCAGGTTCGGTCTACATTCGGGTTGGTGAATTATGTTGGAGCATTGATTCAATTCATTCATACAAAGCCACAATAACATAGTTGCCACCTTACATCGCGAGATGCCTTGAGTTGAGTTTCAGGGTTCATGTGTTTCTCTGGCTGAGATGAAGGATTTTGTTGTTGATTTTGTTGAGGACCAGCTCCTCCTTTCCGCCTAGCTTGCAGTTTGCGGGTTTCTTGGATGATGTCAGCAGTCTTATTTTCCACCATGGTCCGACCCTCCTGGAACAAGCAGTAGAACGGTAAAGCAAAGAAGTTAAGAAGTTGAATGTGGCATTAAAGATGGTAGGAAGGCAATAGGGCAGAATGTTGGTTTGTTAGGAAACACACCTCAAAAGCCTTGTCAAAGGTGTCGCCAATGTGATTGAGGGAGGTTTTAATCTTATCGAGGCGGTTCTTGATTGCAGGATTGTCTATCTTCCTCTCAAGCCCATCAGACGTGGAATGCAATTGCTGAGTACGGAGAAGATCAGATTAATTGCAAACCAAGACAAAACAACAGAATGCAGACAGAATAACAGCTTGTAACAACAGCACGTAACAAATATTCTCATCATTCCCAAACTGATTTCTCTGTTTGATTGATTTCCCATTCAATTCGATGCTCCCTCTCCTGTCAATCGATAATACACTAGAAAAGTCTTACATGGGTACCAGCAGCAGGGGTGGAGGTATCAGAAGGCGACATCTGGAACCTGGATGTGGCTGCTGGTGAAGCAGGCCGTGGAGATGCACCAAAAATGGTATCGTCCTTGTTGTTATTGTTGGCGTCCTGTTCTTCTTCGTCCTCCATAATGGGTTTGGCTTTGCGAGCAAGAACGCCCCAGAAACCTTTGGAACCGCTCATGGGCGATCTATCTTCATACGCATCGAAGATCTACGCAGCAACACAAACAAAAAGCGGAATTGGACGGGATAGAATGAAAAGAAAGGAAGAAGAAAAAAAAAGGAAGAGAGGAAGCACGAAAAAGATACGACCGACCTTGTTCGATCGAATGGGAGAGTGAGAGCCGAATTGGCTGCGATGGGAGGTGGAGGCTCTGATAGCATCCGCGGCGAGTGTGGAAGAGGAATTGAAGGTATGGGAAGGCGTCAGCTTGGGCTTTGCGGTGGCTGTCACCGTTGCCGCGGCATACTCCAGTAAGCCTTGTGATTCGGACAGAGAAGGCCGGTGGTGTGGCTCTTCTTCGAACGTGGACGATTTCGTGATCCCCTGCCTTCTCCTATACGCCATTATTATCTGTCTATCTATCTATCTATGTATCCCTGAATCGAAATCGAAATCGAAATCGAAATCCTTCTCTTCCTTTTGTATTCTGAGGTTTCCGTTTCCAATCAGACGAAAGCAACCCGCAACATCAGCCCTTACTCAATCGGACAACCACAATGTAGACCATTGGGACGGCGGCCCAGAGCCGGATACAGAGAGAGAGAGAGAGAGAGAGTTGGAACAGGGGAGGAGATGAAACGGGAGAAAGGGAAGCAGGAGGAAGAGCGCTAACTTGAAAATTGGCAGCCAAACCGAGCCCACAAAAAAAAAAGTAAGGTTACAATGGGCGTGGTTGGTTGATGGTGGAGGGAGGGGCAACATTCCATTCCAGTTCGTTTCTCCGTCCCCTGCCAATCTGTAATCTGTATAACCAACCAACCTTCACATTCTTTTCCTCAACCCTCGGTGGAAGAAAGAGAACAATTAAAGTACCATTCGATAAACGAAGTAAATTGATGTCAATCAGTGGTCATTGGCAATACTGTCTTTAAATTAAGTACAATTTTCTGGCTGTTATTTCAATATTCCTACTTTTTTTATTGTGTGCCCTTTTCTTCGCTTTAATATAATTTATGATCTTTTGTATTGGCAAAAAAAAAATATAATTTATGATCTTTTGGCTAGCTTGTTTTGCAGGCTTTATTATTATAGGTGGAGTTTTTTTAAATTTTTTTTATTAGTTACTACTTAATATATTTAATCTAAGACCTCTAGGTTCAAAGCTATTGATATCATTAAATAGTGTCCTTGTTCGGAAAGGCGGAGCCGTTTTTGGATTGGGTCGTTTCATCTTCATCAGTCTGGTCTAGTGCAGCGATACTTCTTCTCGTATCACCTTTTGTTTAATTTTATTTTTTTCCTACTCTTCTTGTATTGATCTCTTAAAAATGACATAAATTAATCATTTTTCGCTAAAAACAATTTGGTCTCGGAATTTGAAAAATTCTATCCAAAAATTTGTATTTAAAAATGATGACGAATTATACAAAAGTTAACATGAACATATTAGACTAAGATGATCATAAGTACTTTTTCAGTAAAAAAAATAGAAAAAATGGAGGTCTCCAAATTTAGAGATGGTAACACTGGAACAAAAATGATGAAAATAGAGATAAACCCCAAATCTGAAGATGGAGATGAAGGTTCCCAATTTGTAATGAGTTCGACTCTTTGCAGCATTTGCACGGTGTGGTACATTACGCCTGGCCTGCCTCTTTGATGCAGGCCCCGCAGTGCGCTCATTCCTTCCAGGACTAGGATCCAAGCCTGCACAGCACATGATTATGATATGAACCACCAAATTTGAATTAAGAACGGGGACTAGATACTATAACAACACCCTTTGTGTTGTTATTGTAACAACACTAGCCTCCAACCAATAGGAAGCTAGGATTATGATGACTTTTTATTAGATGAGTTGACCTAGTGTAAAATCAAAGCAGGGGTATAATTGTCATTATGAAAAATCTGTTTAAATAATAAATAATAAAAAAATAATAAAAATAAAAAATAATATTTTTTTGACTGCCCAAATTTTTGGTCGCCGGAATTCGGCCACCGGTCGTCGGTCACCGGAATATGCTTTTTTGTTGCCGGAATATGCTATTTTGTCATCGGAATATGCTCATCGTCGCCGGAATATGCTTACCGGCGTCGGAATATGCTTACCGGCGTCGGAATATGCTTACCGGCATCGGAATCTAGTCATCGGGGCCGGAATATGCTTATCGGCGCCGGAATCCGGTCACTGACGATCACCGGAGTTCGGTCAACGAACTTCGTTGACCGGTCAATGGTCTTCGTTGACCGGTCAACGGCCAACGACCACCGGATGTTATGGTCTTCATTGTGAAATTTATGGTTTGGTTTCTCGCATTTTTGTATGCCTTTTGTGGTTTGCTTTATCGCGTTTGTGGTTTGCATTAAGAAGTTTCTGGTTTGCTTTATCGTGTTTGTGGTTTGCATTGAGAAGTTTCTGGTTTGCTTTCAAAAATTTCGTGGTTTGTATTGAGGGGTTTGTGGTTTGTTTTAGGAGATTTGTGGTCTGCATTAGGACGTTTCTGGTTTGTTTTTGTGGTTTGCTTTATCGTGTTTGTGGTTTGCATTATGAGGTTTCTGGTGTGCTTTTGAAAATTTTGTGGTTTGCTTTGTGAGGTTTTTGGTTTGTTTTAATATATTTTTGGTCTGCATTAGGAAGTTTCTGGTTTGTTTTTGTGGTTTGCTTTATCGTGTTTGTGGTTTGCATTATGAGGTTTCTGGTGTGCTTTTTAAAATTTTGTGGTTTGCTTTGTGAGGTTTCTGGTTTGTTTTAATAGATTTTTGGTCTGCATTAAAACGTTTCTGGTTTGTTTTTGTGGTTTGCTTTATCGTGTTTGTGGTTTACATTATGAGGTTTCTGGTGTGTTTTTTAAAATTATGTGGTTTGCTTTGTGAGGTTTCTGGTATGTTTTAGGCGATCTGTAGTCTGCATTATGAGATTTCTGGTGTGCTTTAGAAACATTTGTGGTGTGTTTTATGGTGTTTCTGATATGTTTCAGGAGATTTATGATTTACATTACGAGGTTTTTGGTGTGTTTTATAGTATGTTTTATTGAGTTTATCAAAATGCCTCGGTCTCTCTTTCGGTGATACAGAAGCAGTCTCGTAACTAATCCAATTCCTATGAGTGGAATCATGCAAATCATCAGATTGCGCTTCAATTCTATCAGAATCCATGACTTTGCCACTGGAAACAAGCTCAAAACCAGCACAAATCTCAACTAATCAACCCATGCCTCGCCACTCCTCATCACCCAACGATCTATCCATCTCCGTCATTGACGCACTAGGTTAATCGGAGCTTACCGCTCCCTCATCCTCAAGAAGTGCAGTCATGACCCTTCCGTAAAGAGATCTCGCCAGCAGCTGCGCCTCAACCATTAGGTGTTCATCGTCGATGAAGATAGATCTGTTTTGTATTGCTCACCCAAACTATTCCACATTGTCCCCTTCCCCATATCCTCCATCCGGATTCCCAAACCTCCATATGCTACGCGATGTAGAATACCTAATCAAGTAAGCTCCAATATCAGCAAGTTCATGACTCTCCTAGAAGTTTTGAAATCATTGAAACCCTCACCTCCCATATGCGCTCTCTGATGGTGGCTTTCACTTTGAAAATCACTTCCTCAATCATTAGTGGAGAGCCATCATTCATCAATTGCCTCTTGAAATGCGGCTACGATGTGGCAAATTTCAGTGAAGGCCTCTATGATTCTTCAGAGGAACTTCAAGTAAGTAACTACTCAAACTTCCTATTTACTGGTCAAGGCTACGATGTGGCGGATGGAGCGGCGCTCCAGATCTTCGCGCGGCTTCTCGACGGGAAGACGGCTGCGATTCGCAGCACCGGAAGCTTATACTCATGAAATCAAGCGGCGAATCTTTGAGATAAACAGAATCCCTGTTCAATCCGAAGGCTTGTCATCGGCGGCCGCCAGCTCGACGATGATTTCGTTTCGACGCAGGTGTGCAGCATCCACCTCCTACTTGACTGAAACAGGGACGATTGCAGGGCGAAAGGATGGGGACGAAGACAATCTGGAATTGTTTGTGGCGGTGGGAACTGGGAAGACGCGTAGGGATAATTACTTCAATTTTTAATTTTATTATTTATTGGGTTAATGGACCCTTTTACCCTTGTTGTTATAATATCCGGACCCTTAAGAACGTCCACCAAGGGTGTACTGATAGAACCTAAAAATTAGATTTCTATCTTGTGGTGGAGCCGTCGATTAGAGAAAAGGAAGTGTCGAAGAACGAGTCGACGAGGCCACCGCCGAAGCTGAGAAGAGCGGCGAAGGTTGGTCTTCTGACGGAGGAAAAGAGGAAGTACGGCGAGGTTCTTCCGCCCACAAACCCTAAGTCGCCACATCTGGCCCTTTCTGCCAAGCTGAAGACTACTTCGTCGGGAGTTTGCTAAGCTATGAGGAAGTGGACCACGAGTTGGTTTAGGAGTGGAAGAACGATGGGCCGATGTTAGTGGCCCGACTAGGCCTGGATCACGAGCGGATAAGGAGGAAGGAGATCATTGGGCCATGTCTTGGGCCAGAAGTGATGATGAGCGGGGTCCATTGGGACCGGACAGATGAACGAGCGAGCCGAGGTCAGGATTGCTTGGGTACGGGTCAAACAAAGCATGTGCAGTGGGCCTCGCTTACAAGCCCGGGCCGCACCTCTGGAAGATAATTGGGCAACTTATGGGTTGTATTGCGGATCTAGTATTCAGGGCATGAATTGGAAAGAAGACAGAGGTGGGCTTTTAAAGGAGCCTGGCCCGAACAAGATTGGAGGCTCAGCAGAGCAAATTAATGGGCCAGCTTCAAGAAAGAAGTTTGAAGGTCTTGAGGAGCTATTGGAGTTTGACCTCGCTACGGGGGCAAATAGTGGGCCCATGCAAAAGAGATTCAAGGAGTCGGGCCAACAAGAGGAGATCGGTATAAGAGGTTCAAGTGAAAAGTTGGAACATGATTGGAAGAAAAGGGAAGCGCAAAAGAGGGTGGACTATGGAGCCAATGTGCGGTTTGGGCGGACTACGTGGAGGAGTGATCGAGTCGGTCAACCTTGAGGGCAAGGTTGGTCTCAAGGGGGAGGGGATGATAGAAACCTAATTTTTAGGTTCTACCATAATTATCATCATTAATATTATTAGGATTTATCTAGTTATAGTTAGTAGTTTTTGAGTCATATTATGATAGTCTATTAGGTTTTTCCAGTCTCTAGCTATATAAATATGTATTATGGGTCTTTTGTTGAATTAAACAGAATATTAATAAGAAAGTTATCTCCCCAAATCCCTAATCCTCTTCTCTCCTCCTAGTAGGCACTCCGCTGTAATTGTAAGCACATTCGATGCAGTTTGTTGTACGACTACGTGCGCTTCCCGGAATCCAGGCAACGAATAGAATAGGCTAACACGATTCCGATGTTCGTATCTGAAAAGAGTCAGGTACGAGATCTTCATATACGCACTCGGGTACCATGGTAATCAGTTCATAGAACTCGTCAACGATTGAGAGTTGTGACAAACTCGTATCCAGAACCAGGCTCTGATACTAGATGATAGAAACCTATTTCTAGAGTTCCTATCAGACGAGATTGAGAATGGGGTTTGATTGATATTCGAGAATATAGAATAAGAATTAAGGATTAGAATAGAGATTTGGGAAAGAACGCAAGAGGATGAGGAAGAAAGAATTGTCGGCGGCCTAGGTAGAGGTGAAGACGAGATTGAGAGGAGAAAATTAGGATTTTGGGAGGGATAACTTTCTCATTAATATTCTACTTAATTCAACAAAAGACCTATAATACATATTTATATAGCTAGAGACGGGGAAAACCTAATATACTAACTAATATGACTAAAAACTACTAACTATAGCTATGGATCGCATATTTTGATTATCTAGATAATAAATAAAAGCCGAATGATGAAAACTGTTGCTCCATTTCAAATTTCCTGCAACGAGAGTGATTATAGGAAGGACATTTTGGTCTTCACAATTGCTTATTTTTTTATTTATTTATTCATAAAAAAGGCATGCACTGGGATTTGAACCTTGGTCTCTTTAAAGGCAAGCAAAGATCATAACCAATCACACTAAGTATATTTGTTGTATCTATTTAAATTCAAACATACACGAAACTAAATTATGAAAATCATATGACTTTTTTAACGATTAATTGGCCACTGAATCTCCCGTAAGTACTTATTTGGTGTTTTAATACTTTAATTATTTTAGTTGTAGTTTAATACTTAATTTAAATTTCTATCTATTTTATAAATATACAATAACCCTAAAATTGCAGCCCAAATATCACTGGTTCGAATATTGCATATCGAATTGCAATATTAAACATGTAGAAGCAATATCGACTTTTTAAATTAATATTATTTTTCAGAATTACTATGGAGAAATTATATCTTTGTGCAAACTATATGAGACTGGTTCTTTTAATGTTTTAGTCAGGATAACCGCTACATTTTAAACTTCTTCATAATCTGGCATGATTGGATCCAATGATCATTATACAAGATTGTGTTTAATAGGGTGGCTCATTTCACCACTTTTTGGCGTGTTAATGAATTTGTAGGACAATGACAGGTCTACATATACACTCATCACAATCTACACATCATATAAATGTGAAATGTGAAATGAGAAAAGAGGGATTCCATTTCAAATTTGATGCGTACAGAGCAATTTTTTAGGGGTAAATTTAGAAGATGCCAGTGCGGTCGGTCTGTTGAGCACGAAAGTAAAAAATATATTTTCATTTGAACGGGCCCAAACTGTTATTTGGCCCACTAATCGTGCACACATCGCCAATGCAGTCAAATTCGGGATTTTGATCGTAAAATCGTAGGATTTTAGGATTTTACTTAGGGATTCCGATCTTGATTTTACTATAAAATCGGTGGACCTTAAAATCGTTTAAAATCGGGATTTTGATCGTAAGAGAACAAAATAGGTGGTTTGAGCCAATTTAAAATAAGTATAATTGTTTCAGCGGAAAGGGCAATGGGATCTTCTCAGATATTTTTCTATTAGAAAAATATTCAAAAATAATAAAAATGACCAAATTAGGGTTCGGTTAATCTCTTTCCCTTCACCCCATTTAACTTATTGATAAAACACCTGTCCTAATATTGGAAGTATGTAAGAACTAACATCATTATTAACTAATTAATTTATTAATGAATATATTTGTACCAAGCCACTAACATTACTTATTTTATTGGAGTTCAATTATTTTTAGTTTTAAATCATACTTAGTAGACGATGTCGAAATATTACTTTGAGTTAAACAACCTAGACATAACATGAAAATAAGAGCCAAACCCATGAACTATATCCCTTCATCATGAATTATTTTGAGTTACACATTAAATAACAATTAAAATAGTGATTTTGGAACATTAATCTTGAGAATTATCTTATGGAAAAAAATCTTCTGAATTATCATTTTAAATGCTATGTGTCTTTGTGATATTAATAATTTACCTTATTAATATCCTTATATGCTATGTTCTATATGGTACTTAAAATCCTACGATTTTACGATTCGATTATACGATTTTGATTTTACCCCAGTTTTCGATTTTAACTGCTTTGCCCATCGCAGCCTCTCCAAATCTTCCTATTCTACTCGCCGGGTCATCTCCTCCACTACAAAATATCTCCTCATGTACTCAAAGTTCTCACTGAAACCTAATATCTACAACTTAGGCGCAGAGGGAGCAACCGATGGATTGTAGCGACCCCCACTATTTTGATAGCTAATCAAGAAGAGCGCGTTTGTTTAGTTGTATGGTGATTCACTTAATTAACAATTTTTATTCCGTTGACAGCCTCCTCTCCGCAATTGTATTGTGTTCACGAAGATCTGAAGGCGCAAGTGCAACAGGTCCAGGGGTAAACAATATGTATAAAGCGTTGGCCAAATTGAATTGAGTCATTCTACTTGGAATAAGAAGATTTTTGCTTAATTGCTTTGGTTCGTGATGCAACTATGTTATGTTTGAAGGTAGACCAACGCAAACAACAGCACAGCTCCAAGGCTATTCTGCACATTAGGTAGTTGGGGCATTAATTGATAATTATTTGGGATTATTCCTACAAGTACATAATTTGGAACGTGCCTTTATATTGCCTTATTTTTGAAAATGGAGTCTTCGAAGTGGAATATGAAGATTTTGGAATAAGCTTGGTTTCGTAACGCCTTATGGGTGTTTATTCTCTAAAATGCAGCTGTCTTTCAAAGTGCCCTTTGCAAATGGCAAGTCAGGATACAACGATGGTACTGGTACACGTTTATAGCATTAGTAGGTAGCAGATTGTGTCCATTCTACTATATCATATAGCTAAATACTTAGTTGTTCTTTTCAACTAAAAATTATGCTTAAATGCTGTGATTGACCTCAGAAATGTATGTCTTTGCATTAACTGTTAATGATTGTGAGTTTTGGTTTAATGGTGAAAAGCCCATTTATTTAGAAGTCTAAATTGGGCAAACCTATTGGACAATAGGAATGCCATACATTAGTGTCGTGGGAGGTTTGTTTGATGTCTCAGGGTGTTGGATTTTTAAGAAGGTTGTTTGTTGTGGCAGAGAGTCCCTAAAGCTAGCGAGGTATTCCTATGTTGGCTTTTTCTTTGTTTGACTTTTTCTCGCCTTTTTTCTTATCTCTTTTTCTATTTTTGGTTTTTGTGTGCTACCTTCAGTTGCTACGTCTTCATTTGTGAGCCATCTATACTTTTCTTATTCAGTGCCTAAAAATCATATATACTCGATTGCATAGTAGTTACTAATAGATACATTTATACCAATAGAGAGATTTTAAGTTTTATCAGTTGTTAGTTTTAATATTTACTTACATTGGTTGTTTATGTAGTTTTCTTTGTAATATTTCTCATTATACAACTAATTACTATGGCTACGTAGTTGTATAAGTGGGGGTTGGACATGATAGTTCTTAGAAGCATCAATACTTGAAGGTTATTATAATGACCAAATTCTAAAGTTATGGTTTGCCTTCAACTTGCTTGGAGCATTTCAATTATGCATCAATTGTTCTCTCCGTGTAGTTAACTCTCAGACAAATCGAAAATCTTGCTGATATGTGCTTGATTGTAGTTAAATTTAGGGTTCTACTGCATTGTTGCTTTACTCTTTTTTCGTGGTTGAGTCTGCTTCCAAAAATTTAGTTTGATTTTAGAAAATTTTGCTTCTGCAGTCCTGTCTGAGGCGAAGGCTATTTTTGTGTTGTTGTTGCTGGTTTAGGGATCGGTTTGTGAAGAAGAGGGAGAAGAGAGGGGGAAAGGGAAATGCAGGAGAGGGGGATAACTCTTTTCTCCGACAAAAATGGAGTGAAGAAAGGAATTATGATCAGTAAGAATATGGTTATCTTACATAACGGTCTCTATTCTGTTTGAATTGAGCTTGAGAGGCAGTGATAAGGACGAGCTGCAACCAATTCATAGTGAGAAGAGAGCTATGAACTGTGATCATGTCTTATTTCAAGTTAGAAGGTAGTTTCAATATAAGGATTATTTAATTTGACAAGTTGTTTCGTCCATGATTCTTGGTAGTTTCAGTGTCATTCTAGCCAATGTTTAGTCTGTAATTTTTGAGAATTTATGTGCGAGTAATGACTTTCACTTAGCTTCAACTATTATGTGTGTATTTATTGGCATGTGATAGAATTCTCTTTTTCCTTTTCATTGAATGCATTTTCATACTCTAATTGTATTATTTGTACATAGGCAAATCATGCTCGAGATGGCAACTCGCTGATATGGCTGGTGCAAGGAATGAAGCCATCATTAGAATTCAGACCGACAACGGGGAGGGATGCCCAGGACTAATTCAATGATGATTGATGATGGTATAATAAAAACTGCAGTCTGCATCAGCACCAATTTCTAGGCCTAAGTAAAGGTATTCAACCCAGAACTCTGCTTAGCGCTAAAAATTGCCCTCACCCAACCTTGATCCTGTTTGACCCACTTCTGAAGAGTCAAGATATATGACTAATCCTCCCTGTTCGTATTTTCTTATTGACTCTTTCTGACCCTGTAGGTTGAGGCGGGTCGGGAAGAATTGGATTAGTGGATCGGTCCTAATCAAGTGGAATCCCAATCCCTTCACTCTCACTTGCTTTCTCTCCCATTCCACAAGTGGGTAACATACAGTAATTCAGCCAACGGGCCGGGTAATAAGCTAGTTTTTTATTATTTTCAACTTCCTGCAGCTGAATCAGGTGCTGAATCAGGCAAGACTAGTAGGTTGAAAAGGACTCCAAAAGTCTTATGAGAAGGGACTTCAGCGGTAGCAATCAACACTTCAGAGTTGTGATGTGAAAGGAGAAAAGTAAGATCATGCGAGTAATCATTTTAATTACAGACTACAAATTACACAAGGTTTCAATCGATACTTTACCACCACCCCTATCTATCAACATGATGCTACTTCCCACTGATCGCCTCAGTAAAACAGCAGAGTGCAGGGTGGAGTGAATGAAATTTCGCCCGTCTTCTTAGAAAAGGAGGTGGAGATAGAGAACTATCCACCCTGCCATTGAGAAGACGGCAAAAATATGAACCCAGAACAATACAGCAGCAGCGTCCTTTCCGCAACCCCTTAGACTGGCAACCGCACCTGTTAAATAGTAGGTCCATGACAGACACAACACAAACTCAGGCCATTTTTAAATAATTCCCATCTGCAATAATTCATAATTACTGTTTCAATGCTGAATAACGTTGTCAGCACTAAAGAGGAAATTGAAAGGACCGACAGGTTTCAGTACCAGATAGGACCGACGTTGGCATTGTGTGTTGAAGAAGTAAAACAAACCGGAACATCTTATCACCAGCAGGGAGAAACCCCAGCTTATCAGCCAATGTAACTATTCCAAGGCCAGCCGGGGGTACCAAAACCAACCGACCAAAAATAATAGCAGCAGTTGTCCGTAGACCGAGCTTAGAGCTACCTGGTCCTGCAACCCAAACCAATAAACGGACGGTCATCCAATTTATGGCATTACCCGCATAATTCTAGTGCAATCTGGAAACATTAACTCAAGACAGATGATCATCAACAAAAGAATTCACTTACCCTCCACGAGATTGCCACCTAAAGCCAACAATATGCACGGAATCATAGCTTCCCTGTTACATTATTATCAAGCAACAATGAATCAATGGATGTCAAGGTAAAAGACAGGGTCACCTCATTCAACAGACATGGAATGGAAAGGTGAATTATCCATGGATCTGATTACCAAACGTGTTACTGAGATACAACATCGATGTACATTACACAGACTAGTGTGACGTAAATAACAAACAGTTCAACATGCAGGTAGATCTACTTCCAAATAGTCTTTCATCCAATTAGAAACAGTCCTCATGTATCCCTGCAGTACATCACTTGCTGTCATATATAAGCAGAGCATCAAGGCTTTATCATCAGCTTAATTGCCATTTACACTAGAAAAGATGTTGTGTGCTTGCCATCAAATTCTCCTCTTCGGATTAAAACACCAATATCCACTATAATTGGAACTACCAAGCATCATCATATGCTAGCATTTTCATGTGCATACAAGTTTCACAATCTTGAAGCATGTTGGTAACAAAGAGCAAGAAGTGAGAAGCATTTCTCCAGTACGAGCTGCAATTTAGCATACCCAAGAATGATGCAGCTGTCGGTAAAAAAGAACAGTGGGGCATCACTTGTGAAAATCAGTCGTTTAAGAAATGGTATTGCACCAAGAAACATGGCTAATATCTGCACACAATAAAACCAAGGACAGAAGACTAGAATCATGAGAACCTGCATATTATGAAAATTCCAGATCAACATGTCCCCACCTACAGTGTGAAGATTGTAAGAAGTTCTAGATAGTGTTAATACAAGCTTTTTGTATATGAGTCCAGCTGTAAGTTAAACATTCACAACTTCATTTTACAATGAATAAATATTCACAACTTCGTCGTAGAAAATGAAACTCTAATTCTTATTAAGAGTTCAAACAACTGAGACTATTGATAGAACTCCAGTTTCACTGTCCTTTCTCACCTCAAGCAAATATACAAGATGAAAGGATTAGGTTTGCTCTAGACTACCTAATCATTTTAGGGATACAGTATGTACACCTTTCCTTGTCTGTAAGATACTTCTGCAACATTGTGTTTTACTTTAATTTTGGCAATTCACCAATTTATTGCATTGTGCTCAGCAAGTTTCAGCAGAGAACGCAATGAATACTATGTATTCAACAAAAGAGAGGAACGAAGAACCATTTTTGTTTTAGGAAAAACCGAAAAAACATCAGGATAAATATGACGTCGTACAGGCGTGTAATAAGAAGCATGTCTCAAGCCTTCAAGCAGTTTTTTATAGTCTGTATCTCACCATCGCACAAGGCTCCCTTTTAGGTAACTAAGATGCTCGCTGGCATTCTGGATCAACATCAATTATTCTATTCAAGGTAGGTTGAAGTTATGCAAGTAGAGAAACTTACTGAAGCAATTATTGGGGGTTGAAGGATTTGCTTGAGCTTGAGCTTATCGTATAGTAGAACTAGAAATTCCATAATCTGTAAACAGCAAGACCCACAAATGTAAGACATAGTGAACCAGTCTTGCACATATCACACAATGCTCTTTCCCATAGTTAAGAGAAACAGGAAGAGACACATAAGATCAAGTGACAACTGAGGAAGTTACATCATTATAATCTTGATATTATATTAAATCACTACATATATAAAATGTAGATTTAACAGCTTCTAAGGATAAATAGTGGCTTGGAATCTAACAGAATTGCTATGCATATCAGGTTAAACAGATATCAACTATAATCTTAATTGTCATTCAAACCTGCAGATGACTTCTTTTATTTGTCAATAGCAGCTAAATATCAAATTCCTCAAACCAATGTGTCATCTCAATGACCAATTAAACACTTCTAATTTGCAACCGGATATTAGTATCCACGGGTATTCGCCATGGACAGACCAGTCAAAGCAACATGAAGCCATATCATATATAACGGGGTTAGTCGACTCATAATGGATCTCACCTTTTCCTTCTTTGAAGCCCCCGACTCTTTAAACACATTTTCATGGCTTAGTAAGGGAAGCTGCTCGGATGGTGCATCTTTTAGAGGACTCTTGATTGGAACATTTCCATCTTCAATATCAAAGGTACCTTCAGGAGGAGGCGCCAACATATTGAATACATATGTGTAAAGGATGATAGCACCAACCTAGCATACATATACCAAAACTTGTTATTCAGGATACATAAACATAAAATGTGCTGCAATCTGACAAACTGTAAACGCGAGGGAAATGGAGCCCATAATAGTTGTTATGCAGCAAGCTAAGCACACTCAAAATACAATTGGATTCCAGGGAAAATATCCTGCTTGTTAGAGAGAACCAGAAGTGTTTTGAAATTCTTACTCTAGGACATGCAGACAGAACTTAATATAATTTTATGATTATACTTCAATAATGCAGAAACAAGTGGCACAACAGACCATGAGCTGAGTAGGTTAAACAAACAAACAAACTCACAAAGCATAAAGCATAAAAGATCAAAATCCATTCAAACTTGTAGGCAAAAACCCCTCTGCAGGATCATCCATAATGGCAACTGAAATATGACCATCAGAAATTGGTAAGTGTGGCCAGATACCCACCCACTGGCCAAATGAAATATAAGCAGTTCCATCTGTGCTACATTTTTCCGAGTCGCCAAAAGGGTTAGATGCATCTCTACATAAAGCAGCAATCAGGACAAGAGGCACATTGCCGATGTTCCCTGCATGCACAGGAAGTAAACACCAAACCATCTGAAGTTTAGAATCAAAAGAAAGAAGGCATAGCCTCTGCAGCAATCTAAACTCCAAAGCAAAACAATAAAAAAAATCCCCTGCGGTTCTAATTTGTCTTCCATTACACAAGCTGAATGTGCATTGAACTGCTCATTGTATAGGATGAGAATGGGATGGAAGAAGTTATTTCTGCCACTTGACCAACACTGAGTGCGGGTAAGAGGAGACTAACCAATTCCAATATGTACGATTGTGAACTTGAAGAATGGGTAAGGAGGTCGCACAATGGATGCAACAATGAATCCAATGATTGATCCCGAGATGCTGCCCAGGACAACATTCACGGGAATAAACCACCTGGAAAAGGGGAAACAAGCAATGTGAAAACCAAACAACATATGGCCTATTCCCCACACACACAGCAATGGAAGGAGGGATAAGGCAGATAGAGTAATTACCACTCTAGCATTTTCTGGAGAGTGACAGCCTGGCCAAGCTGTGAGAAGATTAAACAGGGTAGCAAAAGCGAGAAGACCAACTGGGACGGCGAAGGAAGAATCAGGAAATGAAAAGAAAAGAAGGAAAAGATGAAGAATGCTAATCAATACATAATTTTGTTTAATTGACTGAGTTACCCCGTTCAAGAGTTTCCTTCCAGAAGCGGGCAAGATGTTGACGTACTTGGAGGCCATGAGAAATCCCAAGAAGCACATCGTAAAGACTTTGGCTATGGGGAGTACGGCAATTTTTATGGAGTCAAGGATGGACTGTCCTCCGCCGGATGCCTGGCTTTCGAACACTGACAGCAACCGCTGGACGGCGTGATAATGCGACATCCTCAGGCGCTGTTGGGATTTAACAAACAACCAAGGAAGAGGGGAAGCTCTGAGGAGGCTGAGCACATCCAACGATGGATGGCCTGCGGCTGAAGGAGCAGCGAATTCCCAAGACTACAACGCCATCTCAATCAATCTAAAATGAAGTCCGTATGTAAAAGACAGAATTCAGAAAGCAATACACATGAAACGATTGATCGATACGGAAGAGCCGTTAGAAGCCTACTAACCAGAGAGAGACGACACTAGCTAAATTGAATTTGTTGAGTTGAGTGGTTACTTAAAATATCTCGTCTGCGCACGAATTCCAATTCAAGCAATCAATCAAGAGCTGGATGACGATAGCAGAAAGCGAAATGCGATTGCTGCGAAAACCAGAACCAATATACAGAATGAATGAAACCACTAGATCCAATCCAATTTAGTCCTGAAACTGGGTCTGGTAGGTGGTGTATGTTCAGGGTCAGCGTCAAACCCGACCCTACAGATCCATAGCGTCTAACTGACTCTGCCCTATTTCCTGTAAGGCCCTGTCTAACCCATCATGGCCGGGGCGGGCCAGCGAGTAAACCCATTGTTTCCAGTAATTGTTATCCCTTTTATTGCAATATATCTTGACCAAATTGGTCAAGATTTTCTCGAAAAAAAACAATGCTGTTTTTGTGAAAGCAGTTTATGCAGAATGCTACTGTCAAAGATGGCCGGGCATTCTCAGAAAATACATAACATGCACACAGTACAGTAACAAATAGCCTAACTCGAGACTACCACTCTAGCAAATCTGCAAAGAGACAAGCTTTGTGATTGTGAGAATATTCAAACTACATCAAAAAGTACAAACTAATATAAAACAATACATATTAATTCCATATAATTCGGATAAATTAAAGAAAATTAAAAATTAATTCCAAAAACCACTTGCAACTAAAAAACCCAAATTAACTTATAAAAATTCAAAACTAAATCTTAAAAATCTAAATTAATTCCAAAACAACCATATTACGTCTAAGAATATCAAAATCACATAAAAATAAAATTACATATAAAATGTACATAATTGTTCAACCATCATTAAACACATCACTAGTGATCTCAAATACTTCAATGTCCAACCACCAACCAAATCACTCATAATAATACTATCATCCAAACTACATTTATGCTTGGATGACATTATAGCCTGCAGCTGCTATTAGCCATATACACCACCATCGATTGAAGTTCATTTTTTCGTACTACTGTAGCCAACAGCAAATAGTAGCAGAGCAGCAAATAGCTAATTATTGATGTGTTAGCCATTAGCATAACTCTAATTTATTAATAAAAGGGCTTCAGAAAATAAACAAATCAATGCTCCACAATCTACCACCACTACGCATATCCAACTGATGTAGGTCCAAATGAGATTTCCCTGTCGACTTTCTTCCCCGACTTTTCTATTCTGCACATTGGTTATAGCTACATGACACAGTAGTTACTATATTTTTGGAGTTTATAACACAAACAACTAATTGGTTCAAGAACACTAGATCAATCAAGTAAATTTTGCAGCATAGGTTTCCTCTAAGCTGTTAAACAAAAAGAGCCAAGACTAATAAATCATAATTGTAGATGTAAAGGCCCACAGTAGCAAAATCCAACAAATAGATGAAATCAGGTTAAGGAATGTTCACAAGATGTCTAAAAACAATTATTGCCTTAAGTTTTTTATGCTACCCCTCCCGCTAGTGTGAATAGATAAATTTGTTTATGTTCTTATGACCCTGATATGCTACCAGCAGCAGCAAGCCAAAAGTACATCAACATTTTCTGCAGGCTTTTTGGATGAATGTATAACACACTAACAAACTGGTGAAAGTAACTAGAGCCGCAACGCAACTAACAACCGAGAGGAATGTCAAGTAGCAGTTATAACAGCAGACAGTCATGTGTTATATCCATCTCCTGATAATGCTAAGCTCCTGTTGGTTCGCAAACCATCGCTTATTCAAGACAGAGAAGAAAACAAAAGAATATTGGGATAACCCAAAACAGAAGGTAAGGACTAACAAACAACTAGCAAATAAAATTCATAATGAAGAAAAAGAAGGAAAGCAAGTATACACATCATACTTTCTACAGAGTTATTGAGAAAAAAACTTCATCGAGAGTGGAAAAAATCGAGAGCCCAGATGAAAACATTCGAACTAGAGCGTAACCCAATTCAGGAATCGCACTAAGGAACAACCTTCACCTTGCCAGTCTAAATGACCAGGACGACATTCAAGTCACGCACGCCAAAACCCCATGAATAACAGAAAGAATATTAGCTTACCCACAAGCCAGATTAGCAGATATGCAACCCTCAGATCTAAGATCAAGAAAAGTTCGGGTTCGCCAGAGGAGAGCGAGGAAAGAGGGAAGAGGCAGGGGGGACTCTCCCCAGCCGACGGAGATTCAGATGGGTTGGTGCGGTCTGGGTTTCGGCTTCCGAGTTTCACAAGGAGGTGGACTGGTGGAGGAAGTAAATCGCCGGCACCGAGGAAAGCGGAAAAGAAGACTCCTGAATTCTTAATCAATCTTATTTTTGGAATCGAAATATGAAGCGAAGAATCTCAATCGAGTGATTGGGGATACGTTTCATTAATCATATTCATATATCATTAATTGCATGGTTGTCATTGAGAATGCAAAAATCGTTCAAGTTTACTCGAAATATTTAAATTCATTGGTTGTACTTCAATTTACTGAAATCGTTCACGTTTGATTACTCTCCGAGTCTCCGTCCAACTCCGTTAACTTGTGCTTACGTGGCAGTCAACTCTAAAAGTTGACCGTTAAATGTGTGACGTGGCAATTTAAAAATAATAAAATTAATTTTTTAAAAATTTCCAGCTCCTTCTCTGCTTAATTTCCAGCTCTTCTTTCCTCCATCGGGCGGAGGTTTTCCGTGTGCCAGGCGAAATCGTAGGGTTTTGGGAGAGTGAAGGGAAGGGGATAAATGAACTGAACTGCTAATTGACGCCCGTAAAATTACTATTTGCCGCCCATAAATTTGAGTTAAATGACATTCTTGCCCCTTACCCTTTGGAAACTCTCCGCCAAACACCGCTCAACCTCCGACTGAAATCCCTATCTCCACCAGAAAATGGCCGCCGACCACAATCTCAATTTCCCACCTTCACTCTTTTCTCCAAGGTAACGCCTCACCTCCTCCTACCAATGCTCCCCCTCTCTTTTTCCTCCAAGCCCAAGCTCACCCCCGCCAACGAAATCCTCCTCCTACCCCAACCATTGTCTGCCATTCATCAGATCCAATAGAAGCGCCGACCACAAACCCAACCCAAACCTCAGAATCCCTCTGACGGCAACGATTAACGCCCCTGATCGAAGCTCTCACGTGTCTTATAGACAATTCGGCATTGATTTCCCGACCTCATCGATCGTCCTCCTTGGCATCATCGTTCATGTGCGGTCCGCCGGCCGGCGTCGGACGAGGTCCGCCCGTCGGCTTCGGACGGGGTCCGCCGGACGAGGTCGGACGGGGTCCGCCAACTGACGTCGGACGGGGTCCGCCAACTGATGTCGGACCGATTGTTGGCGTACGATTCCCGGTGCTGGTGACTTTTCAGTTTTTCTTTCCCCAAAATCGATTTCCCTAATTAACTACCCAATAACCTAAATTTATTTCCATAATTAACTTCCCAATAGCCCAAAAACCGAAAAAATTATTCCCAATAATCCAAATTTATTTCCCTAATTAACTGATGTCTAATTGCTTAATTAAATCGAATCAAGCCTTAGTTTATTTCCAATCCGAAAAAAATTTACTTTCATTAACCGAATTTTAATTTCCATATACATTTATGGAATTTTCTTTTGTTTCATTTTAAGTTTTAATATTGAAAATATCGTTAATTTTAATTTTGTGGCAATTGTACTAAGTACTAACGTACTCTATTCGGACCAGCGCCCATGAAATAACAATTTCTTTATTTTAAATATTATTTATATAATTGAGGAGGGCAAAAATGTCATTTGCTTTAAAATTGTGGGCGGCAAATAGTAATTTGCGGGCGGCAAATAACAACCCTCTAAATGAATTGCAAGTTGGAAACTGAGTTTCGATAGTGGTTGCTACCATTTCCGCTCAGAAAAACTGAGTTTTGATAGTGTTCGCGACGTTCGCCAAGAACGGCGACGGGTTCATCACTAAGCAGGAGCTGAAGGAGTCGTTGCTGATACCCAAATCGACGAATTCCCCACACAACGTCTCCGACAATTCGATCACAATCCCCTCGCCAGAGATTCCGTCTTCCGATTTCGGCGACAAGAACCGCAAGAAGCTTGGGTTGGGGCTGGGAATTGCCAGTCCGTCCTTCTGAGCGTGCCTCGTCGATTTCGAGTTCATCTCAGTCAAGAAATAGCAGAGGACAAAGGGGAGTAACACTAAGGGGAAAACATAGCTGGTGGAGGTGGCGGGGAGGCCGAAGGAATTAAATTACAGAGAGCTGAAATCGGCGACGAGAGGGTTCCATGGAAGTAGAATCATCGGGAAGGGAGCTTTTGGAAACGTCTACAAGGCCTTCTTTGTCTCTACGAGAACGTTCGCTGCCGTGAAGAGGTCCAAACACGCTCACGAGGAAGGGAAAACAAAGTTCCCTTCTCTAAAGCTCCGCAAGATGGAGGAAAGGAGAGTTGTAAATAAAGCAGAGAAGGAGTGATTCGATGTTCATCAATTTTTTGTTTTATTTTTAATAGTTAGGAATGAGACGAAAATTTTAAAAAAAATATTTTTTATTAAATTTATTATTTTTAAATTGCCACGTCACACATTTAACGGTCAACTTTTAGAGTTGACTGCCACGTAAGCAAAAGTTAATGGAGTTGGATGGAGAGTGACCAAACGTGAACGGTTTCAGCAAATTGAAGTACCACCAATGGATTTAAATATTTCGAGTGACCAAACTTGAACATTTTTTGCATTCTCAATGACCAACCATGCAATTAACCCTTAATATATATGGAGTATCATAAAACTTCTATCTTTTATTGATAGTAGTAGCTTTTGACCCGGCGCCGAATTAGTTTAAGGAGTGGTTTGGATGTATCAATCTAGAAATGAGTCAATTTGATCAATTATCTCGTTTTACAAACGAGACAATTAAAACGAGTTAATTTGAATTACCTGCCCTCACCCTAGGTAATTGAAATTGACTCAAAACAGATCGATTCAAAATACTTCAGGCAGATTGATCCATCCAAATTTTTTGCTTGCAGACGAGGCAATTTGGTACAATTGTCTCAAAACGAGACAATTGTGTCAAATTGATCCATTACAATTCATCATCCAAACGACCCCCTAAGTTAAGAGAATGTATAAATTTTTGGACTTCAGCGTAATTTGCACTTTTCGATCAAACGAATGTTAAGCATGGTCGACCGAATCTACTAATTTTGTTTTGTAACTGTCAACAACGTGGTTGACCTTGTACATCAAAAGGTCAGCCTATTTGGCAAGCGAACAACATAAAAGGTCGACATCGGATGTTAAAACGGTTGACCATGTGCATTAAAAGGTCGATTTCTGTTTTAAAAAGGTCGACCTCTATTGCATTTCGCATTAACTAGTCAATACCAAACTCGAACATGTTTCCGAAAATAGTAGAAACGGTCGACCTGTGAGTTACGTGGTCGACCGAATCTACTCTATTTGTATTGAATAAGGAGTCCAATACTAGAAAGGTAACCCTAACTTGTCTACCACTTAATTCGCCCTAATCTCGTCCTAAACAACTATAAATAAGATTATATATTTATATGTCACAGTGACCGCTACTCAAACACGTGATTTGGTTTTTTTTGGGTTAGAGTTTTGGTGAAAAAGAAGACTGTTGCTTGTTCTTCCTTTCCACATACAAGGTGAGGTCGACCTAATTTAGGGTAAGATGTTGTCCTCGCTCTATACTAATTTGCTTCGTTTGATTTTATTTGCTTTCATGTTCTAGGGTTAGAGTTTTGGGGAAGAAGAAGAAGATCGTGGTGGTTGTTCATGTACGTGTTCCACGCGGCCGACCACTTCCAAGGTAAGGTCGGTCGATTTTAGCTAAGGGTGTCGTGATTATTTTTTCGTAATTTGCTTCGTTTAATTTGATGTGTTAGTTGCTTGCATAAGAGGATTCGGTCGGCCCAATTTGTATCATGGTCGATCGTATGTGTTAGTTTTGTTTGTTTGTCAAGAATATCGACTTTGGCTTTGTTTGTAAGACTCTGTTACGATTATGGGTCGACCTAAATGGTTCGTGTAATTACGACATTAGGTATATAAGGTCGACCACATAATATTTATGGTCGACATAATCTCTGTTGTTGGTCATTTGTACACATTTGAAGTTGAATTCTTATTTGAATGGTTTTTAAACTGATTTAGACGATGGCGCATGATGAGAAACAACAACACGATGATGGTGAAATTATGCAAGTGTTGAAAGCCACACAAAAGCATATGGTGATGTGTCGAAAAGAATGCAATGACTTTCAGAAGTCCATCTGTCATACACTGAAGCAGTGGTCAGTTCGATTGGTGGATATGACTGGGATGATGCATGATGGGTTTGAGAGGCTAAAAGGTGCTATCAAAGAAATACGTGCAGAGCGAATGGAGAACGGAGCCCAGAGACGAGCTATCAAATAAATACGTGCATGCCATCAATGTTGATGATAATGGGGAGGAGCCTGGAGACGAGCCAATGATGCAACCACAGAGCTCAGCTCCACTAGTCACCCTACAGTGTATATGGGACCGCATGGGTGGCATGTACGACGAGATGGGGCAGATGTCCACGCAGATCACTGGCATGTACGACTACATGGGGCAGATGACCACCCAAATGAGCGCACTGCATGTGACCATAACAAAGATGCTAGATGAGTTTCGATCTTTCAGTGGAAGATACATGCATCCCACCACATCCGACTACCATAATGCTAGCACCACCATTGAGGAAAATGTGGATGAGTGAGAGAGGGGAGAGGTGTAGGAGCTCTATGATTTTAGATTGTGTTTTTTTGTTGTTAAGGGGTCGTTTGGAAGTTACGATTGTTAAATAGATGTATTGTTGAGAATGCATGTATAATATTATACATGTATTGTCGAATTTGATGCATTGTATAATACAACGTTTGGTATGTGTGATTCTGTATGTCGCATAAGCTAAAAACTAAGACAAAACAATCTCAACTCAACTATCTCAACAATCACAACTAAAAGTTGAGATATAACAATCACTCAAAATGAGTGATAGTTTCTGTCACATCACAGAAACAATCCATGTATTGTTTCTGCTAAAAAAATAAAAAAAACGATGCATTGTAAACAATACATGCATAATGACAATCTCAACAAAACTATCGCAACTTCCAAACGACCCCTTCTTAAAGATGATTTGGTTTGAAACAACTTTGATTGCAGATTGATATTATGTGGTTTTCGATTTTAGTTATGTGTGAACAATTATGAGGTGTGTTTTATTGTATTTATTGTTAGTGTGTTAAGTTGTTATGGTATGAAGTTATGGGTCATTGCTATTATGATTTAGAACTAACTCTGTTGGTTT